TAGTTTCACCTCTGAGCCTTCTGTTCCCTTTCTTTCTGTACTTAACATCTCCAGTTTTGCAAAGGTTTATGATACCCAAAGGATCTGCTTACTGCCATTCCCAGGTTTTTAATCTCCTATTGCATATCCCTTCACCATCTTTCTGTAAGACACCCACCATGACTGAGGCAACTTGGGAAAGAAAGCATTTGATTGGGTTTATGGTTTCTGAGGAACAGCTGGAGCAGCAGCTGAGAGATCACATCTTGATCCACAAGTAGGAGGGAGGGAGGGAGGGAGGGAGGGAGGGAGGGAGAGAGGGGGGGAGAGGGAGGGATGGATGGAGGGAGGGAGGGAGACAAAGAGAGAAAGAGACTGAGAATACTGGGGATAGCATGAGTCTTTTGAAACCCAGAAGCCTGCCCATCTAACACACCTAGCACACCTCCTCAATCAAGGCCATGCCTCTTAACCCTTCCCATACAGTTCTGCCAACTTGAGACCAAGTATTCGAACATGTGAGCCTATGGACGCTCATTCAAACCACTACAAAGAAAAAAAGAAAAAAGGACTTCAGTTAGGTCTGGTTCTAGGTTACAAGCATCTCCCAAGACAGCTTCTTAGTTGCTGTGGGGTTCCTTGTGTGGAGATTTGCTGCTTAAACATCCTGTGAGAAGCCCTTCCCCAAACTTTCAAGAGGCACTGTACTGTGCTTCCTGCGTCTCCTGCCTTTCAAGTAACCTGACATCCGGTTCCCAATGAAAACTGCAGAAACAGCATGGTGTAAAAACCTGGTGCCTCCACCCGTCCGTTACTGCAATCATCTAGAGAAGGTTTGTCTACTCCACATTTTGTATAAAGCTAGGCATGGGCAACTGGACTAGAAAGGGAAGGGATGGACTAGCTACACTGATGCACAGCTTTATCCAGGACACAGGTGATATTATTGGTTATTTGAAGCAGTTACTGGGTGAAGTTAGAGTTGAAGGCCAAGAGGAACTTGGGTAGGTGTTGGTAGCCATACTATTCAAAATTTATTTTGATTGGTAGCAGTAGAAAGTGACACCAGACATTGCCTTTGGAATGTGTTATTCCAGCCACAAATTAGATGTTGGACAGGGGCAAGAACAAATGGCTGAACTATTCTTACGAGGCAACCTAGCATAGAAGTGGGAATTTTGGAAATTTACCTTCCTTAACTGAGTCTTCTACTCTATTACACCTGACAGCTATGAGTTCTCGATTGAGAACTATGGGAGACTTCTTCTGGACCTTGGCATGCTGGGGAGGAGCGGCTGCAGGCTAGGTCTCACGTGACTAGACAAGCATTTTGAGCTTGTTACTTCTGGAGTGTAAGAGTGTGGGAAGGAGAATCTCCTCCGGATAAGTCAACCACTCGGGTTTGCAGTTCTAACGAAATGACACGACCCAAAGAGGACCAGCGAGGCCCGAGTGTCAGTTTGTTCATTTGCTGAAGCCGACGTCTCCCTATGAAATTTGTAATCATTTATGTTACCCACATTCAGAAGGCTGTGATTGCCAATTGTAGGTTTGACACCGGTAACTCGGGAATGGAGAAGAGTCAGGAAAGAATAACATTTAAATGAAGCAATACTCAATGTTTCATTTTAATAATTTGAGAAGCTGTTTCTGAAGCTTTTGGTGAATAACACAGCACCGTTCAGCCCAGGATGCTTTGGGCTCACAGTTTAGGTGGGGGCACACACACACACACACACACACACACAAACACACTTGTTCACACAGTTGTATTCTCCATTGGTTTCTTTGGCCACCTTCAGGCATCTGGCAGTAGACGCCAGTTGCCTAGGCAGCCCTGCGTCTGGGTCTTGGGTGGGAAGATGCAGTGTCACAGTGTTGCTTCTCTCTCCCCAGCCCAAGGATAGATTGGCTGGTGTTTGTCTTGGCATCTGGGCGGGGCTTCGAGGAAGAGCATTGAAGCCTAAATAAATACGATATGGCTCAGAACTGGTACATTACTTTTGCCACACTTTTAGTTTAAAAAAGTCACAAGATCTGCATCTGTTACCAAGAGATACGGACTACAAAGGTGCACTGTAAGGGAGCCGTTTTGAATGCTTGCTATTAACTATGGATGATGTCTCATTTTATCCCATTTGACTCACATGTGGGCAGAGTGTCCCTTACCCTCCCTGCCTTTCTGTCCCCTCCCCACCTTCCCCTTTTCTCCCTTCCCTGCTGAGGATGGAACCCAGGACCCCATCCTTGCCAGGCAAGTGTTCTACCACCTAGCTATAGACTCCTAGCTTATGAATGTAGAATATTTACACACTAGCTTCCTGCCCCGCCCTGTCCCCTCCCTCCTTCCCTTCCACGGCACTACAGACAACCCAGAGTCTCCTACATGCTCACACTCCACCACTGAGCTACATGCTCAGCTGTGAGTCACAAGAAGGGAAAACATGTTCATTCTTTTCTTTAAAATAGCTTAAAAGCAGGCTCTTGCTTAGACCAAACAAGCTGAGATGGCATTAATGGAATTGTTCTCTGCACCCCATCTGTAACTGTGAGGAGAGCTCTCACGCTGCTGTCAGTCAAGGCCTATGTGACATCACCATCAGAGACAGAATAATTTCTTAATAGCAAGGAACAATATCTAACTGCTGCTCTGGTGATCTTGTAAAAACAGATCTAAGAATTTGACATGGAAAAGAGGGTATCTGTTTGATGTATGGTGTTGTCATTTTTGTCCATTTAAAAACACTAAAGTGGAAAATTCAGGCCTCAGAATATATTAAACAAATAATTATTTACCTGAAAGATATAATTTTCACCACCCTACTTTATAGGAAGTAGACTGTTTGGATACAAGTACATTTAATAGGAAAAGAGTTTTTTTTAATTGTATGTGCATTGAGAAAATAAAACTTTTTGATGTCTTGGTGCAAAACTGAAGAGGATCTCAGTCAGCAGCCTGTGTAGTACTTTAAGATGGTTTACTAGTATGCTAATACTATAGTGTAATATACACTAAGCATTGGAAGTGTGCAGAATACTAGATAGTGCACATAAAAGATCTTGATGGATTTGAAGGGAAGGGCTAAGAAATGCACTCTCCTAATCCACAGGAAAATGGGGTAATTCAGAATCTAGCTGAACCAATAAATCCTATTTAATTTAGCACACATCACACGCCGAGACAGGGGAGGGAGAGCAGTGGGAATGGGGAGCGAAACTCTCTGATTAGCTGGTACCCCGACCATGGCATGCTTTCCTTCACAGAAATGAATTGAAAAGGACTCAAGTTAGTGGAATATTTCTCATTTTTTAAAAAAAGTTTTGGTTTATAATCCTGTGTATTACTATCTGCCATTCAGAGATCACAGTGGTTTCTAGATCAGGTTTACAACTGTTATCCCAAACTGCAAGTATAAAAAAATTATACCCTCACTGTTTCTTTTAATTTATCAGTATAAAACTTACACTGTTGACAAAGGTATTTGGAGGACTGGGACTAACGCTTTTTAGAAAGTTAATATTGTATTTATTGTGTGGCCGACTAAAATGAACACACACACACACACACACACACGTATGGGAAGAGATTTAGATAAATAAAACAACAGTCAAGAATTGAAAAATACCAAGATCCAGTCCCCCCCAGAAGCCTTTCATCTGAAAAAAATGCACATAACTTAAGAAAATTATATCTTAGTCTGCCATAATTCTACATTTTACTTTGCTTTGCCAGTTTTGAACCGAGGGGAAAAAAGTAAAGCCAAAGCTAAAAAGGGCTTGGAAGCAGCCTTCCCCATCTTATATAACCACACTTATTGACTGGAGGTTGTATACCCGGCTAGTCTTTAAATAGAATTCTTGCAGAAGTAGATGAAAATGTTCAGTGAAAAAACTGATTCAGACCAAGCTCTCTTCCAACCCCTGCACTTGTCCTTCTGGGTGTTCTCACACAAGAGTTACATGTCCGTAGGAGTGCATGCATGGGATGCATCGGATGCAGGGGATGCATTGGATGCATGGGATGCATTGGATGCATGGTAGCATCGGCAGATTTTAACAGACATCTTGGCTTTTGAGGCGCCTCAAACCAAGAAAAAGAATTTAAAAATGCATACTGTGTGCTCTCTGGGTGATGATAGATGGATCTGGCAGGAGACACATATCCTAATCACTAGCTTGAATATGGGGAAAACGTATAAATTGAATTTATTTCTGTAACAGCTACATATTTTTCTTTAAGAAGGCATGTGATAGATGGCTCTGATCGTAAAATACAGAAACAGACTTACATTGTTGATACACATTTGTGGTAACAAGCAAGGATTCTAATGTATTATTTAATAATTCACAGGAGACAGTATTGGATATTATACTTTATACTAATTGATTAGATTTGTAAAATGGAGGTAATTTTCATTCATGGAATTTCACTTAAAAATCTGAAGAGGGAAATACAGAGTAAAACTATACACATGCTCAGGAAGCAAGAGAGAATAGGTAAGTTGCTTTCGGGGGAAAAAACCCATTTGTGTGTTTAGTGTCTGGTGACACAACCCTGTGGCATATATTCTGAAATCTGCAGAAGAAGCGGTGGCGTGGAGATTGGTTGAGACCTCACTTCCTGTTTGCTTTCAGAATTACATGTGGACCCACGCTTTCTTAAGACAAGAAACACACACGTGTGCACCTTGTTATGAGATTTAGGTGTTTATCAAAATGAACGCTAACATGTCTGTATGTTTGGAGAATTTGCTACAGTGGTATTATTTAAAACTTGTTCTGAAACGGGGAAAATAACACATAGACCGGATAGTTCAGAAGTGGAACTTTTTTTTTTTTTTTTTTTTTTTTGAGACACGGTTTCTCTGGAACTCACTCTGAAGACCAGACTGGCCTTGAACTCAGAGAGATCCATCCACGGCGCCAGGCTCAGAAGTGGAACGTTTACAAATGACTCTTGTAGAATATCGCAGCAACTTCAAAAACTGCTTCTGTTGTTTGTTTGTTTGTTTGTTTTTTAGGTTGTCAAAGGAAGGGCGCTGGAATCAACTACAGGAAGTGGAGTCCCAGGAGCCAGAAAAAGCAGCTCAGGGAGATGGGATTAAAGGTAAGAGAGATGTAGTACTCTCTAAGGTCAGAAACTGAAAGCAAATGTTTCCTCTCTCCTCAGGATGTCTGAGGAGAGAAAAGGCAGCAAAGTTATCATTTCCAAATGTCCTGAGAAACTTCTTAGGAAATGGGGTAAACAGAGCTTTATTAGAAATTTCAGCCTGTGGGCGGGGCAGCCGATGATTGACAGCTCAGTGGTGGTGGCTGGCTTACTGGGGCTTTAGAGTAAACACTAAGAGCTCTGCACAAACAGAAGGATTGGCTCCTATACTACCTTAGTCATCCATTAGGAGGTTTCTTTCTGTCTTTTTTTCCTTAAGTATAATTTCTTTAACCTTTGCCCTAGCGTTTATTTCCTTTATTATGCCTGTTGGATACAAATTCCAGTTTAACATCTTTGTATCTAGTTAAATTTAATTTTGCTAAATTAAGAGTTGCTTGATTCACCGGCTTATTTAATTCATTTGTTTGGACACTTGACATTATAGAACTCTTCGAAGCTAATTCCAGTAAGCCAAAAAAAAAAAAAAAAAAAAGAAGAAGAAGAAGAAGAAAGGATTTGCCCATATTTAAAAGTAAGCATTGCCATGTAGCCACAGCTTGTAAATAATTGTGTATGGCATGGAAAATTGTTCAAAAGCCTCTCTGCAGCTTAGTAAACAGGAACAGCTTTGGTGAGCTGGGGCTCTTCTCCTGATAAATAAGAACGGTACTTATTTTCCTGGAAGATTGAAGTAATTAAGGCAAAAATAAATTACCTGGATCGGTGGTTCTCTATCCTCTGTGCTCATTAGAATTCTCCAGAGATTTTGCTTTGTTTTTTTTGTTTTAACTTTTATTTGAGACAGGGTTCCTCTGTGTAGCCCTGGCTGTCTTGGAACTCACTCTGAAGACAAGACCAGGCTGGCCTCAAACTCACAGAGATCCACCTGCCTCTGAGAGTAGAGGTGTGTGCACCACCACATCCTGGCTTCCAGAGAGTGTTTTGAAAATTACCGACCCAGGGCTATCCCTACAGAACCGTGGGCTCAGGCATTTTCCTTCTATAGACTGCCCCCCTCAGTGAGTTAAATTCATAGCTAAGGTTAGAACCTTAGCAAAAATATTAAATCAGTGCATTAGAGTCGGTTCATGTTTTAATTTAAGGCAAACATGATACTGCTTCAGTGTAGCTTGTTTTAAAGTCACCAGTGTATTTGGTTGCTTGTGTTTGTGCTTTTAAATGCAAACATTTTCAGAATAGCTAAACCCCTTGTAGACCATTACCAACCTTCTTTTCAGGTGCCCCACTATTTTCATCTTGTGGAACTTAAGACCGTCGACAATTCCCTGCATTTTTATTCCTTCACTTTTGATGGTTGCTTTCTTTTGGTCAGATAAGAACTTCCTGCCTTAGATGAAGAAAAGCACTTACTGTGTAAAGGCCATTTTGGGAATATGGGGTTAAACATGCTGTTTTATATTGAAACTACTTTCTGTAGATTGAAAGTGTGCTTTCCGGCAGAGATAGTCACATTACCTAGTAGTGTGTGTATAGTTAATATATGCTTCTCTTCAAATTTTATCTACACAAGTATTTAAGGGTTATGTTGCTTAATAAGTCTAATGTCAACACTTGGCCCCCAGAGGAGACATTAATTGAGAGTTATTTCTCATAGACGTCTGAGTTTTGTTTTGAACCATTCTAAATTCCAGTACTGGATCATTTTAAGGTAGACCACAACACACTATCTTTTTTTTCCTATTACAATAGGGCCAGTCCTATTTTAAATAAAGTAGAGATGTTTAAGATACTGAAATATGCTCGGTCTTCTGATATGCTGTTTTTGCACTTGTATGCATTTCCAAGGGGAAATAAGTGGTATGATTTCTTTTTTGTCCGACCCCTTTCCACTGTAATGTCCTAGGAAGCCAGCTGGCTCGCTCAGTGACATCCGATCACTCTCTAAAGACGACTCTTCCCCAGGCTCAGCATTTTCCTCAAGACAGGAGCCGTGAATTCTCTTCTTCCTAAAGACACACATATCCTTTTCAAGGGCCCGGATATTTCATGGAAAACTGCCTTTTGTCATATGCGTGCTTCTTAGAGTTACTACCAAAAAGGCTGGAGGAAGGAATCTATCCTTCCACAGCAGGAAAGAAGCAAAAACAGAAACAAAGCGCCAGCAAGATAGACCAGAGGGAGAATAGCATTTTAAACAAAAACCACTGATTTTAAAAATAAAATCTCATCCTGTAGCTTCTTTAAGTTTTCTTCTTTCTTGACGCTGGTATTTGGTGAAATAAGCAGAGGAGGGTTAAAGCGAGCATTCTGAATTTCAACTCCTTTATAAATTCGGAGGGCGATTTGTCTCTCAGGTGATTGGCCATGCAGTCTAATGATAGTGTTGTAATTTACATCTGGTCACTCAACATTTACGTCCCCTCAGGATAATTAGGGAAAACCTCCATCATGTCCAGTAACGCCCAGCCTGTGGGAACTGCTCTGCCCTCTGAAGTCATCACTCATCCCGACCTTACATTTTCCCATCAAGCTCGACCTGGGCCTAGGCTGCTGGCAATGCCCCTGCAGGGTGCGGACTGCAGGCCTACCACTGGAGGGCGTCTGGACGCTTCCAAATTTCTTCGAAGCTCCTGGAAACCCAGGGCTCGAGGTTTGGAAGGCGCAGGACAGATAATACGATATTTGATTTTATTTGTCTGACATGTAAAAGGGAAAAGGTGCAGCGTTAGAGAGAAAGAAAAGAGGAAACTGCCTCCCCCCCCCCTTCTTTTGGATTGGGTCCGACCTTCTTACTACCAGGCTGCTGTGCACCAGAGAACAAAATAAAAAGCCTGGGCTGCGGGTCCCGCAGCGCCGGGTGTAGGGCTCGCTGCCAGGGCACAGGAGCACTGGGGACCGGTCCCGAGGCGCCCGAGCCTCCCCGCTTCCCGGAGGTCCAGCGGGGCTGGTCGGGGCGAGGGGGCCTCCGGAGCGTCCAGGAATTCGTGGCCTTTTTCAGTAACGAAGGCGTTCCCTGCCCTCCCGTTTCCCTCCCTTTCTTCTCGTCAGGAGTTCAGTTCAAGATGTTTACGTGGGGCGTCAGCAGAGCAGCCCCAGGGTCTGCTCGGCAGCGGTGGTGTAAAGCACCGACGGGCTCCCGCTGCACCACCTCCTTCCAGGTGAAGGTTCGCCCCGGATTGCCATCACTTAAAAATGAGATTCGTTATTTTTTTCTTTTTCTTCCAGGCGACTTTTCAGAACGTGCTCTCAGAGCATCACTTTAAAGTCCTATTTCCTGCCCCCGCCCCCAAGCCTGGAAACCTCGGGTAGGAAGAGGGCGCTGGAAGGCACAAGAGAGAGATGCTCAGATTTCCAGAGGACCCAGCGCCGGGCAATGCGCGGCGTGAAGATCCGAGCTGAGGTTTACCCGAACCCGGATTCACTTAGGGCTGCTCGGTGTAGACTTCACGTCACCTGAGCGGTCCCGGAGGCGGGAGCCCAGTTTCTTTTCAATCGGAAGACCCCCCCACCACCCCCACCCAAATAAGAAGACGCCCAATGAGACGCACTGCAGCCACCAAAGGGTTACACGTGCAGCCGGGCTGGGCCAAGGAGAGGGTGCCTCGGCGGCACTCTCGGTAATTCAATTAGTCAGGTTTCAGGAAGGTGGGGCGGGGGTGGGGCGGGGGTGGAGGCGTGGGGAGGGAGGAGATGAGGAAGACGCCCCTTTCTCGTGGAGCAAACCAATCCGGTTAGAGAGAGAAGAGAGAGGAAAAAAAACACCCGATCTGTAAGCAAACAGCAGGCCTCTCCCTGACTGGTTACTCCAATCACCCCCCACCCCCTTCGCAAGTAAACTGCTTGGAAATAAGGGGGGGGGGGAGCAAGACGAGGAAAAAAAAGCTGCCCACATGACCTGGGCCGCGGAGGCAGCGGCGCCCCCCCTCCTGCTCGGTCCGGTGCTCACACCCGCGCTCGCCCGCCGGCCAACCCAGCGCCCCGCGCAACACGCCCGGGCGGAGCCCCCGCCCGTCCCCGCCCACGTCCACGTTCACGCGCGCGGCCTCGCGCGGGGCTGAGGCTGCTGCTGCCGCCGCCCGGGCCGCCGCGGCAGTCGGCTTTACACGCAGGTCATTAGCGAGGGGGCGTGCCCGAGGAGATTTTTTTTTCCCATCAAGCATTTTTTTCTCTTCCTTTTTTTTTCTTTCCCCCTTTCCCTCCTCTTTTGCAAAACTGACTTTTAGCCCTGTCTACTTCTCGCCAGTCCTCCTCCTGCCTCTCCAGGCTGCTCGCGCGGCTGCACTCAAGTTTATTTTCCCGCCTGGGCAGAGGGTTTTTTTTTTTTTTTTTTATAGGATTCGGGTTGGAGGCTTTCCCCCCTCGCGAAGGCTGTGCCCAAGGAGGGGACGAGGAGGCAGCTTCGGATCGGGGACGGTTTTCTGATGTAGTCTCCGCCGGGGAGGTGCCGACAGCTCGCTCCTCTCCCTTCTTTTTTTTTAACCCCTATCCCCCGCCCCCGGTTTCAAACTGATTGATGAATCTCTACAACAAGTTGGGGCCGGAGCGGTCGGAGTCACAGGGACACTTTTGAGAGCTCACCCCCGGGGGCTCTGGGCACGCGGCGCGGGGGGCTCAGCCTCGCTCCCGGAAGGCGACCGGAGACTGACATCAGCCCATCCCGGACTCGGAGGGCTCCGTCGGAAAGTGATTGCTTCCCCTCCCGCTTCCCAGCCGAGCAGTTGGGTTTGGCGTCGCCCTGCAGGTCTGGGCATCCCAGCCCCGCCTGGCTGGTTCACAACCTCTGCTCTTCATTCACCGCTGCACCCACAGCCGGCCAGGCAAAGGCAGCCTGCGAAATCCGCGACTCAGCCAGCGCCCGGGGGTGCCATCGCCCCCTGCCTCTGCGGCCGGACTCCTCTGGGACCTGCTGGAAGACGTGAAGAGCCAAACTTTTCTTTGAGGCTTTCCGAGGCAAGCCCGCTCCTCCTCTCCTCGCTCGAGCAGCTGCGGCTTCGGGCTCTTCCAGGACACCGACTGAGCTGGGCTTGCGGATCCGGATCCCCACCCTTCTCTGCGCACCTCCGGGTACCGCAGTACCTAGGACTCCTGCGAGCCTTGCCGGGGGCCGCCGAGCCGAGACCCAGAGGGAGACTCAGGACAGCTTCCAGCCTTCCGGGGCCACAAGCGTGAAGAGCCCCCCATCCCGCCCCCCGCGCCCCCCGTCCACACAGCGCCCTCCTCCTCCTCCTCCTCCCGCAGTTTCTCTCCGGCCGCCAAAGTAACTTGGAGCGAAGCGGGGTGCGCAGCGAGGGCCCAGGGCAGCCGAGGAACCCTGCGTAGACCGCGGCGCCGACGCAGAGCCGGGCCCGGCGGGCCGGTGTATGTCTCCCCGCGGCCGCGGCGCTCAACTCCCGGTGACTGTGCAGCGTGCGCCGCCGCCTGCCCCGACCCGCGCTGCCGCCGCCCGGCCCCGCACGCACCTCCCTCTCCCGGGGTGACCGGCCTGCAGCCGCCGCCCGAGACACAGCTCTGCACCCCTTCCCCCGCCCTCGCCGCCGCCACCACCGCACACACGCACGCGTCTCTCCGTCTTGTGATTCTTCTCCCCTCCCGAGCCTTTCAGTGGGGGTGCGAGTTTGTTCCCCCCGCCCCCCCCGCCCCAACCCACTGCCTTCTTTTCTTCTCGCTCTCCTCCTCCCGCGCTCGCCGCGCTCCTCTCGCCCCTCCGTTTTATTTATTCATATTTATTTGGCGTCCGGTCTCTTCTTCCTACCCCTCTCTCTCCCTCCCTCCCTCCCTCCCTCTGGATCCCCGCTCTCTCCCCGGAGTGGCGCGTCGGGGGCTCCGCCGCTGGCCAGGCGTGATGTTGCACGTGGAGATGTTGACGCTGCTGTTTCTGGTGCTCTGGATGTGTGTGTTCAGCCAGGACCCGGGCTCCAAAGTCGTCGCCGACCGCTACGCTGTCTACTGGAACAGCAGCAACCCCAGGTAAGGTGGCCGGGGTCGGGGCGCCGAGAGCTCGGGCTCCGCGGGCCTGGGCCGGGAGCTGGGAGCAGCGGTGGCCGGGAGCGGCGCGCACCACAGCCGCAGGCAGCGCGCGCCCACGGAGCCTGCGTCGCCGGACGCTGCTGGCTGCCGGGCGCCGGCGGGAAGCGCTCGCTCCGCGCCGCTCTTTGTTAAGCTCCGGCGGCAGGACCGGCTGGCTGCTGCTCGGAATCCCCAGGGCTGAGCGGAGCCGCTGCCTCCGAGGGGCGCGGGGAAGGCACGCAAATGGGCGGGAGCCGGGGACCAGGGACTTGGCTTGCCAGCCGGGGAGACTGGCTCGCACCTCCGGAGCCCGGCTCAGGGCATGGGTCTGGCAAAAGCTCTAGGTGCGTACCGCCGGGAGTTCGCCCCTGGAGCCTGGGGGCGCAGGACTGGGCCCGAGAACCTGCTAAACATCAAAGTGCTTTCTTTTTTTAAATTAAAAAAATAAATTTAAGCATAATTCCTTCTTTTCCCCCTGTGCGCGCACAGACCGCACTGGTTAGGGGAAGCAGAAGGGGTGTGTGTGTGTGTGTGTGTGTGTGTGTGTGTGTGTGTGTGTGTGTGTGTGTGTGTGTGTGTGTGTGTGTGGATGGGAAGCGGAAGCTTTAGGTTTTAATGTTCTTTTTAACTGCGAGAAAACTGTTCGGTGACACCCCCACCCCACACCCCGAAGTCGGTCTAGGCCCAGCGCGCTTGGCCGTGGAAAGGATTCTCCTAGCTCGGGCATCCTCCTTTCCCCCAGTGGGTTCAAGGTGCCAGAAAGTTTGATCGAATGCCGGGTTACGTCACGAGTGCCGAGCGAGCTGCTGGAGTTGGCCAGCCGGAAGGTGGGAGCCTTCGCCCCGGGGCCTGGCGCGGCGCAGCTGGAGGGACGCGCGGTTACCTGGAACTGTGTGTCCGCGACCCCGAAGCCCGCGGGCTACGCGGGAGGCTGGAGGCGGGTTCCGGGGACTGTCCTAGCGCACGTGCTGGGCCGCAGCCAGCCACAGCCACCCT